TTTTACTCAAAATTTGAGTAATTTTTTTGTTTACTCAAAAAAGAGTAAAAAAAATGCTTTTACTCAAACAATTGAGTTGGTGATGTTTACTCCACTTTTGAGTAAAATTAATTTCGTCATTTACTCAGTGCTGAGTAAATTATACTCATTGTCTTGAGTGATAGTTACTCAAATTATTTTACTCAAAATACAGAGTTGTTGTTTACACAAGTTTAAGAGTAAAAGTATTTTAACATAAAGAAGGAGTAACATTTACTCAAATTATTGAGTAATTGTTGCAACAACTCATAAAATGAGTAACATTTACTCATATATATATATATATATATATATATATATGTATGTATATATATTGATAATTTTGTAATTTTAAAAAAGAGATATTTTTAGGCGATTTTTCATTTGTAAGAATATTCTTAAAAAATTATCGTGTTACCATGACAATAACATTGGATACTTCATGTCCGGAAAATACAATGGTTTTTTCAGCAAGGCGAGGGTTTCTGCATGCATGTATTTTCTAGTTCCCTTCGGCTATTTACACCCGGGGAAACGAAAGCATTAGCGAAGTCTAAAGTTCATCAATAATCGCGGGCGTGGGTCACCAACGATGGGTGGTCATCCTCACTGATCTCAAAAATATGGCGGACTGTCATGAATAGCGGACACTGATTGGTCCAACTTAAAGTTTGCATTATAACGACTGCATGGCGACAGCGAAATAGCAAACATTTCTTGATTTGATGATCGATAAATTTCTTGCAAATATATTTCATATTTGCTCGCATTTTTGCAAGATTTTGTAAATTTCAAAAGCTTTCTTAGCAAGAAAGGGCGAAAGAATCGGCTAAAAGAAGGGAGCCGATGTTAACGAAGGTAAGTTTGTTTTAAATATTGATTTCATGATTGCTTTAAAACCCGACGGCCGTTGCGTATATGAAACAACTAAACAAGACAGCATATAATTCCAGTGCATCTTTAATCAAAGTTATGTACATGCGAGAATTTGAAATCATTTTATTGCAAACTCAAAGTTTATCGATAAAGCCATTTAATTAAAGGCAGTTCAGTTTACTGTTTAGTTTTATAAAGAACACTAGTGATTTTAAAACGTTTTGCGAAGCATTTGTGGTTGAATTTTACCTTCAATTGAAGCTTATATTATGTATAATAACATGCCTAACATATATATGTTGGGAAATTGATAATTTTGTACTTAAAAGTGATATTTTAGGCGATTTTTCATTTGTAAGAATATTCTTAAAAAATTATCGTGTTACCATGACAACTATATACTTTAGTTACTTCATGTTCGGAAAATACAATGGTTTTGTCAGCAAGGCGAGGGTTTCTGCATGCATGTATTTTCTAGTAAATTTTGTATTTTTTATTTCTTTGAGTTTTGTTCCATGAGTTACCCATGAGTTACACAACCATTAATTCAAAGCAATTAGAGCTGTCAAATTATTACAATACGTTATAGCTAATTTGAATTTGAAAAGGTTCAGTTTTTTCTATACACACCGTATATAAATGATAATGGAGATAATGAGTCGACATGAATATACATAACTCAAGCGGCAAGAGCTACTTATAATTGGACCGCAGAAATACTGTGCCAAAAAGTTGCAAGCCTTATTAAAAAAATTATTTTCAATATATTATAATATTATAAATTCCTATTACTTTGCGGTATATTCGTTTCAATGCGCCTTTCACTAGGTAAATACAACCTATAATCTCCATATTGAATATAAACTGTTTTTAATGTATTCAATCGACGAGTTCCGACATAACGTATATTAGTAAATGGATGCTGACGTTTTATACGTGCAATCTTGTCAACGCCGACAAATTAATTCAATATTGATCAGATCATTGTTAGCTTCATTCAAGATATAAAGGTTCTCAAAAATACTTCATTATCACATGCATTTAATCTATTATAACAGGTGAATGAAAAGTGATGCTTTATATTTTTAGGAATATTGGCCTGGTTTATGTTGCTGCCATGCATCCTGCATTTTAATTTATTCTTGTAGTGCGGTATAATTTTTTATTTTGTACAGTTGAAAATATAAACATAGATAAAAACTATTGAAGAAATCACCAAGCAAATATTTCACTAAATATGTAGTTTGACAGATTTGTTTAGCAACCATTGTTGTGAGCATGCAAGTCCCATGCAAGCAACTTTTTAAAATTAGAATTCTCAAATTTTGCCATTTACAACATCGCGCAATGTAATTTAGTGAACTTCTAATTCAATTTAACGACACTGCCATTTTCACTCGATCGCTTTGGGTTCATTCAAATTTCTTAAAATATCTTAATTTTTTTTAATGCTGCAGATTTGGATGTTAAATGTCTTCCTTGCACATATTTCAAGAAAGTGTAAATTAAATCTTTCCTTTATGAATGAAGAGATTGTCAAAATCTCAACACATTCTAATTATTATCAACATAGTAGCATTAGTATGATTTTGGTGTAAAAACTGCGGAATAATTATGTTATTTCACTTTTCTCTAGAAAGTGTTTTACTGCTTACTCCCAAAGCCACATGCATCCATGGATTTTTGCGAACACGTTTACCGTAGTTAAAACACGATCTTCAATTGCGTTTTGAAATTCATTTTGACGAAAGTGTGCACAATACAATTTATTGTAAAAGGAAGAAATAACTTGATCGTTGTATAATCTTCAACTGTTCAACACGCCATTAAAAACCTGTATTAAGAACAGTTATATTTTGGCCATGCATCCTGCATTTTAGTTTATTCTCGTAGTGCAATATAATTTTTTAAACATATATAGACTAGAAAATACATGGATGCAGAAACCCTCGCCTTGCTGACAAAACCGTTGTATTTTCCGAACATGAAGTATCTAAAGTAGTTGTCATGGTAACACGATAATTTTTTAAGAGTATTCTTACAAATGTAAATCGCCCAAAAATATCACTTTTAATTACAAAATTATCAATTTCCCAACATATTTATGTTAGGTATGTAATTATACGTAATACAAGCTTCAATTTAAGGTAAAATTCAACCACAAACAATTTACAAAACGTTTTAAAGTGTTCTTTATAAAACTAAACTGCCTTTAACTATTAAATGGCTTTATCGATAAACTTTGAGTTTGCAATAAAATGATTTCAAATTCTCGCTTGCAAATAACTTTGCTTTATTTTTTATTTAAAAAATTCAATATAATAAAAAAGGGAATCAATATTAAAGATACACTAAAATTATATGCTGTCTTGTTTAGTTGTTTCATATACGCAAAGGCCGTCGGGTTTTAAAGGCATTATAAAATCAATATTTAAAACAAACTTACCTTCGTTAACGTCGGCTCCATTCTTTTAGCTGATTCTTTCGCTCTTTCTTTCTTGAAATTTACAAAATCTTGCAGAAATACCAGCAAAAATGAAGAATATTTGCAAGAAATTTATCAATCATCAACTCATCAAATCAAGAAATGTTTGCTATTTCGCTGTCGTCATGCAGCCGTTATAATGCAAACTTTAAATTGGACCAATCAGTGTCCGTTATTTATGACAGTCCGCCATATTTTTGAGATCAGTGAGGATGACCACCCATCGTTCGTGGCCGACGTCCGCGCTCATTGATGAACTTTAGACTTCCCTAATGCTTTCGTTTCCCCGGGTGTAAATAGCCGGGGGGAATTAGTACCCTCGCACGGCGCTTCGCGCCGCCGGCTCGGGGATAAAGACTAGTGAAGAAATAACCAGGCAAATATTTCACTAAATATATTTTGACAGATTTGTTTAGCAACTATCGTTGTGAGCATGCAACTCCATGCAAGCAACTTTTTAAATTTTAATTCTCAAATTTTGCCATTTACAACATTGCGCAATGTAATTTAGTATACTTATATTTCAATTTAACGACACTTGCTTAGTTGGGTTCATTCAATCCAGGGATTTTTGCGAGCACGTATACCGTAGTAAAAACTCGCGTTTTGAAACTCAGTCTTTCTTAGTAAGTAAGAAAAACTTGATCGTTGTATAATCTTTAACTGTTCAACACGCCATTAAAAACCTGTATTAAGAACGGTTATATTTTTGCTAGTTAAATGTGCTGAGAGACAAATCGTCTCCTAGCTCATGCGCAAGAACTAAAAATGGCAAATATTTTAATTTTTTTACTCAAAACAAAAACATGGCTGAACTGTTGTGGGAGAGAGTGCACCCGGATGGGTATTGATGTGGTGTTTGGAGCTATTCCAAGTTACGAACCATACCAGACAAGTAGAAAAAACTCTACTTGGTCCGGCTGCGATTCGAACCCACGACCTTCGGTATACTAATCCGATGCTCTACCGACTGAGCTAGAGGTCAAGTTTCGATCAGGTCGTTGAAAGATGGTCATTTACGAAAGTCTATAGGCTAAAATCACTAAGTTGATATCCAAAGCGAAAGTTACATATTATAAATCCAATTAGGCTGAATGCTGCCACAAATTAAATCCCGCCAAATGGTATAAATCGATTTACAAGTTGGCGGCAGTAACCGAATATCCACGACTTATGTCCTCGCCTGACCATGTCGACTTAACGGCAATCACTGACAAACTAGAAAAAAGTGTTATTAAGCCTTGGCTAGAAGTCCAATCAGATCATCCAAGACTTCAAGCAGGGAACACCTACTTAAGGATACCCGCACCTCTACCATCCATTGGCCAAATCAAAACCGTCCTAAAGCATTCAAATCCGAGGAAAGCCAATGGTGCGGATGATATCGCTGCATGGTGTCTTAAAAGGTATGCGGAAGAGCTAGCTCCGGTGGTCCACGATATCGCAGTTGCAGTGGGCTCGGGACTTATGTGAGTATACCTTTTCAACTGGCAATGTTTTGAGCGCTGATATTACTATCGACAGTACGCAATTTAGCGTTTTTTCGGCGAAATTCGAACATACAATGTATTGCGCGCATACATGAAATCGATTATCAATACATGAAATCGATCATTTGAATACTAGTCAGTATAGAGGAGTCAAAGTGGCTTATTGTCTTATAACATAAGACATAATTTATAACCTTATAATTCAATTCGTTGAATATAGACTAAATGAACTCTGCAAGTGTTCGCAAGTGTGCATAGTATTTGTTGTCGGAATACGAGGTGCTATAGTGCATCTATAATTGAGGCTTTCCTGATTGCAATAATATAAGATATGTTTTCTTAACTTTCTTTAGTTGCCTCCTGCCTGGTCATCTTGCTACGCACTTGATTTTAGCTCTCATCATAAGCTGATGATATTATTTAGATGCACGCACAGCGTTTACATTATAATGTTTTGGCATCAAAATGGAGACATTAAATTCTGCAACGTACACTATATAATATATTACCAAGGTTTGCTCCTGCTAATTGATTTGTTCTCACCAAGTATTAAATTATCGCATGCAGAACAATATGTTACGTCAGTATAATAATAATGTAATATCTTGATAATAAAATATTTTGCGGTTATATGATAACTAAAGATTCCAGAATTCTCTGATTCCAAGATTACTAGATTCCAGATTCCATGTTTTACAGTTAACCATTTAAACCATTCATAAAACTGAACATTGAATTACACTTGCACGTTGTCCAATGTTGAGTTAATTTAATTTATACATGTCAACTAGTAAAGGCTTAAAATTGGTAGGGCAATTATTAAGCCAAATGGTTTCATGAAAAGATAAAAAAGTGTTAGCAAATAGAGGCCCAAGAGGAGAGCCCATTGCTACGCCGTCTACTATATCGCCGATATGTAGACGATACCTTTCTTCTATTCCGTTCTAGGAACCATATTCCTCTTTTTCTTGCATATCTCAATCGCCAACATCCTAACATTAACTTTACGTGTGAAGTTGAATCCAATTGTCAACTTTCCTTCCTTGACATTACTATCACACGAACTAATGGTCACTTTGAAACCTCTGTTTATCGTAAACCTACATTCACAGGGCTTTTAACTAATTTCCATAGCTTCACTCCTCTACAATTTAAACGTGGTTTAATATATTCACTATTACACCGCTTTTTCAATATTTGGTCTAACTATGAGAATTAATTCCATGCTCAGATTGAGTTTTATAGAAAAGTCCTCAACCAGAACGGTTATCCTACTCGTTTTTTCGATCGTTGTGTTCGACTCTTTCTTGATAAAACCCTTCAACCCAAGGAATTAATCCATTCTGTATCTAAGAAAGTGGTATACTTTTGTCTTCCATATACCGGAACACACTCTCTCCAAATCCGTACCCAAATTCAACGCCTTTGCTCTGTAGCCTTCCCACATATAAACATCAGAATCGTTTTTCGTCCCACTCTACGTTTGTCCAATTTCTTCATGTTTAAGGACAAAATTCCCGATGCTTTAAGGTCTTGTGTAGTTTATTCTTTTAAGTGTCGGTGCTGTTCCGCGTCTTATGTGGGCCAAACGATCCGCCATCTACATACGCGAGTCTCTGAACACCTGGGTATTTTCGCCTTAACTGGTAAGACCAGTAGCAGTCGAGTCCTCAACTGACGAGCGTCTTTTCCCATCTGAGCCACTCAGGTCATACTGCTTCTCTTGATGATTTTAAGATCCTATCATCATGTTCCTCTCCAGATGAACTTCTCGTTCGTGAAAGTCTTCTCATCTCAAAGCTCAAACCTACTTTAAATCAGCAAGGTAGCTCCATTCCTCTCTCACTCCTCTGACTTCTCTCCTGTAACCCCCCCCCCCCTGGGCATTAATCTTTATAATACGATTACGATTCCCGCCTGGTTCATCACTTGCAAGTATTTTATAGGTTCTTACGCGCAGTTTGCAACAGACAGCTCGTGTGTTTGCTATGAGATTTTACGGGCAGTTCAAGGCATTGCCCATTACCGTGTTGTTGCTACAATTTTACAATAAAATACGGTCAACATTCCCGAACACTGACCAGCGAGGTTACCTGGGCTTTAAAGAAGACAAACAGCTCGATGATTCATCCTCGTTTGTATCAGTCGTGTTTGCAGTTTCGCCCAAATAGTTTAAAACCTATTTTCAATAATATGAGAATAACACATGTCGCGTGAATTTTTAATTCGATCTGAACTTATCAGATTAATAGGTAAATATAGGCTATGTAGCTAAAATTAGTAAAATATATTCATATTTAACAAACCTTACGCGTGTCTCTTGTTGTTAGTTGCGCAGGCGCTTTCCTCCAAATAGTATGAACAGAACCTGGTTTGAGTCGTCGTTGCAAACCATCCAAATGAAATAAACGCTCAAAACGTTGAAAAATGGTCCGAATAAAGCATGAATCGAATTTCTCGCAAGTTTGAATAAAAATTAGCGTGCCTAGTTCGCACAAATCTAACCCATATTCTTCTCAAGAATTCGTCATTTGGGCTCTTATGCAATGATTTACACCCGCGTTTTTGTCAGAAAGAAGTATTGCTGCAATCTTGTACAACACAACACGATGAAGGCATGATCTAGTTTTACTAACTTTTAACTGTAGCTGTGAATAGTCGTGTATATATTTTTATCTTGCACGCTCAGCATATGTGTTGAGACTATGATGTCACAGACTCCCGAACACTTAAACTTTCCAATATGGCAAATTTTAATGGCGGCCGCCAAAATTGGAACTTCATTGTCGTAAAACTCAGGCCAAATATGAGATATCACGCTAAAATTTTGCGAGACAGCTTCTTTTTACGCAATCATGGAAAAAACAAAAATGAAAATTTGGTCACAGTCGTATTCTAAGTATTATACATTTACTATTGCTATTTATCTATAAACACAAGAATAAGTAGTATTTAAATATACATGCAGTAATATTCTAAGGTGTGTCCTTCAGCAGTGCTGTATAATCGAATAATAATTCAGCATTTTCACTTCAAATACAGAATTTCTTGGAATATATCCTTCGATTTTAACTATTATACAATGATATACTATAGACAGTTATCTATAAAAACAAGTACTGTACTATTTAAATATGTAGTAATAATCGAGTGTATGGTCTTCAGTCAATGCTGTATAATCAAATAATAATAATTTATATAACAACATAAACCATCTCTGTTCAACACGGGGCAGGAATGAATGAATTCTGTTGAAAGCCGCTGCAACAACATTTGACGTAAGTAGAAAGGAACAAAAAAACGTTATTTTGCAGTTACGCCTCGTAGCGCCTGGAAGTAAACATCTGTTTGATGATTTTCAAAGATTCACATCTGAGTAGTGGCCTGGACCAAAAGAATATCACTGAATTAATGCTTGAATTCATAAAAATGAAAACCGTTGCCCAGGAACGTAGCATCATGGATTCATGTTTGTTACCGCCAAGTACTTCGAAGACAACTGCGATGAAGAAACAGAGAAAAAAGAACGCCACGACAAGAAAACAAGATTTTGCCAGTTTTATGTTCTTTAAGAATTTTCTTTCATTTTTGTTGTCTGATGCAGTATTTTCAACTACATTTCCAGGCTGTTCTCGTCTTCTCATGGCGAGAAAAATTTTTGTATACACAGATATAGCGAGGAAGAGAAAAATCAAAAGAAAAATCGAATAAAAAATTGACAGCATTCTATATTGCAAAAAGGATAAAGCAAGAACCACAAGTACCCCTATTACCCCCACAGACACGAATGACAAAATTCTCTTCTTCGTAACAAGTGTTCGATGTTTCAAAGGATGTAACACACCAATATATCGTTCTACCGTCATGGCGGCCAATGTTAACACTGAAAACAGACCGATGGCCGCAACTATTCGTATCAGCAAAAGAAATCTAATGCAGTGTGCAGAACCTTTTGTTTCCTTATAGCAGATATAGCTTAACAAAGGCAAACAAATAAATCCGACTGCTAAATCACAAATTGATTGCATCATTACCATGAAATAGGGGATCTTTTCTTTCAGCTTAGGACATTTCATCATAGTGATCACAGGAATTGCATTTAGTAGTACAGTAGGTATGATAAGTATCATGAAAACCGTACATGCGCCATATTGGTTGACAGAGAATGCTTTTGATGGATGCTTGAGTGGAACTTCATACTTGGAATTCAGCAAGGAACATTCTTCAAAAAATCTATAGCTCTCGTTTGCGATATTCATTGTTCGTCCACTGCTTTTCTTCTATATGTGATGTGTCAAATAATTATAATCGAAATGCTAGATGCTTTACATTTTATACCTGTCAAATTTAATTGAAACATGTGTTGATAATGAGCCGACAAGCAAAATTCCTGCTTTTAATAATGCTGTTTTTAATGTCTTCAGCCGGCGAGTTTCTACATAACGTATATTGGTAAATGGTGCTAACGTTTTATATGTGCAATCTTATGGACGCCGAAAAATTAACTCAATATATTCAAATCATTGTTAGCTTCATTCAAGATATAAACGTTCTCAAAAATACTTCATTATCACATGCATTTAATTTATTATGACAGGTGAATGAAAAGTGATGCTTTATATTTTTAGGAATATTGGCCTGGTTTATGTTGCTGCCATGCATCCTGCATTTTAATTTATTCTTTTAGTGCGGTATAATTTTTTATTTTGTACAGTTGAAAATATAAACATAGATAAAAACTATTGAAGAAATCACCAAGCAAATATTTCACTAAATATGTAGTTTGACAGATTTGTTTAGCAACCATTGTTGTGAGCATGCAAGTCCCATGCAAGCAACTTTTTTTAATTTGAATTCTCAAATTTTGCCATTTACAACATCGCGCAATGTAATTTAGTGAACTTCTAATTCAATTTAACGACACTGCCATTTTCACTCGATCGCTTTGGGTTCATTCAAATTTCTTAAAATATCTTAAT